TCGAACGGTCTCTCTCCGTTCTCTGAAGTCATCCCAAGGAGCCGCGGGATCTTGTCTGCAGGCGCGGGGTCATCGTCGTCGCTGCTGTCATCGATGAGAAGCTCTAGCGCGAGTAGTAGCATCATATCTTCCTCGACTTCGTCCTCCGTTGGCTGGTGCATCTTGAAGTTTGCTTGTGTTCGGAAACTGGTGGTCACTATTTCTGGGTCTTCAACCTCGTTTTACTGTCCATCGATATAATGACGAGATTGACTTTCGTCCGAACACGTTTTTCTAAAATGTCGTTTTCGGAACTGTGAGCGAGACCAGCCGAAATGTTCGTTTTCTGGAAATGAGACTATCTGCGAACACGGCCTTAATTTGGCGTAATGATCGCCATTATTGAGTCAAAGGTCACTTGAAAAAACAAAATGTAGGCTCAACTTGATCTTTTGATCAATTAACTTACTTATGAGCATGTTCGGGATGCCACGAACAGAAAATAAACCTGAAAGGCGAAACCCAAACAAGAGTGGGGGCATGACTTAAGGCCAGTTGCCTTGGTGTGAAACGGCTCATCGGTTACTGTGAAAACCGTCGTGATACTGGCCACGGTGCCGACCACATAAGTGTTTCACAGTGGTTTCTGTCACCTTGCTCAATATGAGCTTCTTAAAGAGGGTGTTGTTTCCTAAGGAGTTAAGGACGATATAACTTGTGACGCCCGTTGGATTAACAAGAAGTGGTAGCTGTTTTTTTAGAGATCAGGTCCGATCTCATTCACCAACTTTCTCCGGTTCAGTCGAGTCCTCGTCTCGACCTGTACATACCTGTCTCGGTATACACCTTTTCCAACAGCAACAACAATGCTTTCCTGCAAGACGTTCCTCCGACTGTTCACCGTGGCTGTCGCCCTCTCCGATTTCACCTCTCATGCCGGTAGTGTTTGTGCGGTCGAGTGCGAGGTGGCTAGCGACGTGATTACCCCGGCCGTCTTGACCTCTTCGTACACCAAAAGTAGCAGCTCGATTACATCTGAATCTGGGGCTCAAGGCTATACTGGGACCGCCGTCGAAGGCCAGCTTGCCTCTTACCCAAACGACGCCGTTCTCGGCCTATTGAGAGCCAACGCTGAAGCTCTAGCCACAGGCGTCGTCAACGGTGACGTCGCGGCTGCCTCAAACGAAGCCGGCGTTGCCACCGTCGTCAATACTGTGAGCGGAGATGATATTGTTGCCGGAAGCGGTGACATTCCTGCTATCTCAATTGCAAACGGTGGTATCCCCACTCTCTCGAACGAAGGTGATGTTGCTACCACCGTGAATGCTGGCATACCGCTTACCGTGAATGAAGATGGTGTCGTCATTAGCACTAAAGCTGGCCCCACCGCGCTTTGGAGCGGCGATAATACCGTCACCGCCACTGACGGTGACACCGTTGCCACCACAAGCGGCGATATCGCCCATCTGTCCAACGGAGATGATGTCGTCGTTACCGCGGTCGATGGAATTCCCGCTCTCTCGGACGTAGTTGACCCGGTCACCATTGCAAACGCTGGCATCCCTACTCTCTCGAACGGAGATGATGTTGTCACCACCACAAATGCTGGTATCCCGGTGCCCTCAAACAGAGCTGGCATCACCACCGGTGCTTACGGTGACATCCCTGCCGGAGCATACGCTTCCGCAGGGGAGAGCGTATATACTCCTACCAGCTATGCCAGTGAGAGCGGCTACACTTCTCCCAATAGCCACGGCGGTGAGAGTGGCTATACTCCACCCAAAAGCTATGCCGGTGAGAATGGCTACACCCCTCCCAGTAGCTATGCTGGTGAGAATGGCTACACCCCTCCCAGTAGCTATGGCGGTGAGAATGGCTACTATCCTCCCGATAGCTATGCTGGTGAGAATGGCTACACGACTCCCAGTAGCTATGCTGGTGAGAATGGCTACACGACTCCCAATAGCTATGCCGGCGAGAATGGCTACGCGCCTCCCAATAGCTATGCCGGTGAGAATGGCTACGCGCCCCCCAATAGCTATGCCGGCGAGAGCGGCCATAACGCTCCTACCAAGTACGGCAACAGTGAATCGGCGTACACCGTCGGTACGCCACGTCCGTACTCGGACAACGATCAGAATGGAAACTATTACAGCAAAGAGAGCGGAGGCACGGAGCCGGGCGCTTATGGTAGCTCCACGCCAGGAAATTACGAAGGTGGTGTTGACGCCGATACAAGTGTGCCTTGCAGCACGACGGGCAGCGGAGCTGGTGGTGTCTACTCTAGCGTATCTGGCAGCGTCGATACAAGCCTACCCTGTAGCATGAAGGGCAGCGCGGGTAGCGATACCGATTCTAGTGTATCCGGCACCGAGAGCGGGAGTGTCGATACAAGCTTGTCCGGCAGCACGTCGGACAGTGCTAGTCCAAGCGAATCCGGAAGTGAGATCACGGATATCGTTCCTGTGATCACTGATATCGTCCCTGTCATCACGGATATTGTTCCTGTTATCACCGACATCGTTCCGGTCATTACGGATATCGTTCCTGTGATCACCGATATTGTTCCGGTGATTACCGACATCGTTCCAGTGATCACGGATATTGTTCCTGTGATTACCGACATCGTTCCTGTGATCACCGACATCGTTCCGGTCATCACTGACATCGTTCCAGTCATCACCGACATCGTTCCTGTCATCACTAACATCGTTCCGGTCGTCACGGACATCGTCCCTGTCATCACTGACATCGTTCCGGTCGTCACGGATATCGTCCCTGTCATCACGGATACTGTTCCTGTGATCACTGATATCGTCCATGTTACACGGATATTGTTCCTGTGATCACCGACATCGTTCCGGTCATCACGGATATTGTTCCAGTCATCACCGACATCGTTCCTGTCATCACTAACATCGTTCCGGTCGTCACGGACATCGTCCCTGTCATCACTGACATCGTTCCGGTCGTCACGGATATCGTCCCTGTCATCACGGATACTGTTCCTGTGATCACTGATATCGTTCCTGTGGTCTCGGATATTGTTCCTGTGATCACCGACATTATACCGACATTGCCTACTCTAATTCCGACAATGCCTCCTGTTGTTCCGACATTACCGCCGGTAATCCCAACGCTGCCTCCGGTCATCCCGACGCTGCCGCCGGTCATCCCGACCCTTCCTGCGGTAATCCCGACGCTACCTCCGGTCATCCCGACCCTCCCTCCGGTAATCCCGACGCTACCTCCGGTCATCCCGACCCTCCTCCGGTAATCCCGACGCTACCTCCCGTAATCCCGACGCTACCTCCGGTCATCCCGACTCTACTCCGGTAATCCCGACGTTATCTCCGGTAATCCCGACGCTACCTCCCATAATCCCGACGCCACCTCCGGTCATCCCGACCCTCTCTCCGGTAATCCCGACGCTATCTCCGGTCATCCCGACGCTACCTCCCGTAATCCCGACGCTGCCTGAA